CCTTATCTTTATGGCGGTATCAAAAAATTTTTGTAGAGGCGGAAAATTCAATTTTCGTCTTTGTTGCGACCTCCGATGCCAACTTGCATAATAACGAAGGATAGGGAAATGACAAATGTTTGCGCAAAAGAAAATTGTTCGAAAATTAGTCCAACACATGTTTGATTGCACTTCAATTACATAGAAGATGGAACATTTTTGCATGTTTGATTGTCCAAATTTTCCATAGAATTGATTTTACATCTTTCACCTACGTGCTCTCATTTTCTCGATTTTTTCTTTTTATTTTTTATTTTTTTTTACAATGAAAACAAATTCTATCCCAAATTGTAACAAATTATATCCTTTTAATAGATAATTTTCATGGAAAACAAAGTCAAACAAATATCAAAATATCCAAAATTTCAATATTTTCAGTGAAATTTTACACCAATCAACCGCAATTAATTGATAATTCTCAATAAAACAAATTCTATACAATTCAATTCCCTAAAATTCATTTTCTTTCCACCCAAATTTCATTCTCGCAATCAAATGGACTCTAAAGTATTTCGGTTTTTTGACAGTGAGAGGAGTTAGTTTTGGACAATTTTCTAATATTCTATGATGCTTAAAATTTATAAAATGTTGCACAAGAGTCCATTATCTTTCGAAAATTTCCCTCCGACTAGGCATGGAAACAGCACAATTTTCATAAAACTGGCTAAATAATTTTTTATAAAAACTTTTAATTGAATCACGTCACGAAACTCTTTCTTCTTGCCTCGAGTTTTAAAATCTATTTGTTTCACTCACTCGATTCGGTTACAAATCAAGGGGTCATTCGCCCACATCTTACCATAAAGATTGTTACTCCGCCACCTTCGCCATAAAAAAACTGGATAAATTATTATTTGTGGAATGACATAGTAAAATATAGAAATCTTCAATACAATGTTTTGCATACTTTAGTTATGACTTTTAGTTTCTTGATTGTAAAAAACATCAGAGCCCGTCGGTGGCGGACCTAGTACCTGGCGAGCCCTCACGGCCGCCCGTGCTGGATCCGCCGGGAGCTCTGATGCCGCCTAGTAATATTGTAGAGCCGGAACTGAAAAAGAGAAAAGGCCAGAGAGGATAACGCGAAGAAGAAGCCGTTGTTTTTTTTTTATATATAATTTGGTCGGTTGGGCTGATTATTGTGTAAAAAAAGTAGGCCCAATAATAGAGGAAATTGTCTAATTCCAAACCCCAAAAGGCAAAACCAGCAAAGTGAACCCTTATTTCTTAATTCCCAATTCGTCATTTCCAATTAGAAAAAGAAGAAGAAGAAGCTGTGGCTGGGCGAAGCTAAAGCGATTGCGTGCGACTTCGACTCCCATTAATCTGCAACAGAATTAAGGTTAGTTTATGTGTGTATTTGATTGTGGATTTTGGCATTTTGCTATGTGTATTTGATTATGTATTTTACATTTTTACTAATGGTATTAATTTACCGTAGCTATTAGCCTATAATAAATTGGTTTTTGAAAAATGAGAAAGTTGTAATAAAGATTCAACTTTTATCTATATGAAAGATGAAATGAAAAGTTTCAATTTGTTGTTTGATTGATTGGGCTTTGAGGTTCGTTTTTGCAAATTGATTCTTTTACGTGTAATTTTTTTTTTTTCTTTTGTGAGCACTTGTTTTTATTTAATTGCTTATGCAAATAGATATGATAATTGGTTGGAATCTATAACTGGTAATTACCAAATACCAATTAATGTGTTGCTAAATGCTAAATACTTTACTACCTTTTGGTTCTTTTGTAAATTGTGTTTGCATTTTGATTTCTTTTGCTATTCTTTTTTTGGGTTATTTCCTACGTTATTCTTTTATACATATATA